CTCGAGCGGTCACGACGTCTCGGGTGTATGTGAAAGAGACTAACGGGTTTCATGTTTTGCTTTTGTACAAAAAAAGTCGAGGGACCCGTTAGCCCGCGGTGGGCTACGTTCCAGGCAGCCTCGGCACCATCGTCCGGAGATGTAAGCCTCGCGGGCAGGTGCGTTTATACGTATGTTATAACGTAAATCTGACGTAAACATAGTTGCGCCAGGACCGTGGAGATTACCGGTCAGTCTCTACTGGGTGCGCGAGGGACTTATGAATGCGCGCTATCAGCGGGATTGATCGGAGGACTTCGATCCCCGTATCTCTCCAACTCTTGACCGATGGATTTTTACATAAATTAATAATGTTTTGTTGCGTTGCCTCGAGCCTCGCCCGGCCCGATCTACCCAACCGCAACGACATTCCGGTCTATTAATCTTGGCGCTACTAACCGTCGAGTGGATTTTCCATTACGAGCTGTAGGACCATTTTCCGTTCTCCCTTTTCGGCTAGTCGAGGCTCTAGTACACTTATCTCGCGTAGCTTTTTCTCGCGATTATCAGATAATAAAGAGAGGTAGGTAGGATCGGAGGGCCGATCGATGGAGATAAATCCAAATCAACCCCGGCTCGTTGACTTGCTCCTGCCCACGGCAATAATGCCAAGGAATAATTAAGCTTTACAATACGCGCAGTTAGAGTCGGTCAGTAAACGTAAATCACGAGTTTACTATTTCGGCATTTATGTATTATGAATTCCGGGTGTTCCGTTGTATTTGGGTAGGTTAGCGCAACGAATGCGGAGTATCTCATTCGTACTTCGATAGAATAAAAAATTTCAATTTTCAATTAAACAGCGTTTAACGCAACGTAGAGAATATTGTTTCAAATATTCATCTAACTATTATATATATAGATATATAAAATTATAAAAATGTATTAAACTTAAAATTAATTTTATTATGTATTAATTTTAATCATCCTTATATCAATATTATGTTAGTCTAATAAATATTAACTGCTGTCACAGTTCCTTACACGTTTAAAAATAATTTAATGTTATAATCATACATATATACAAATACGGACACACACACACACACACAATGTATTCTAAAATAGCGCATTTTAAAATTAAAAAATTGAATATTAATATAATAATAAAAAAAGAACTAGTACTTTATATCAAACATACATTTCCATTAATTCTTTTTTTCTTTCATTCTTTTTATTCAATTCAAAGTTTATTATTTATAGTAGTTAGAGATGATCTAGGAGAGCTAAAGAATTTGTTTAAAATATTCCGAAACAATTTTTCATATCTCTCCCCCCCCCCACCCCGTCCCGCCCCACCAAATGAAATTACGTATAAAGCAAAGTATTTTATGATTTATAAATTCGAATACAAATTCCGGATTTTTCTTGTTTTCAATAATATGATACGTCCATGACTAAATATTTCAATCCTCTGCCGTATCGATCTATATTGAAATACGTTTAAAAATTTTTAATTGTTCATCAATAAATGCGTTCCTTTCTATCCCAATAATGTCCTTTATTGCTTCACTTAACAATTTCTATACGCTTGCAAAAACCATTGATAATTCGAGATAATCATCTATATATACATGATATTAAAATATATATTTATGAAAGTAAGATGTTGTTATATTATTAAAATTTGAAAAATTAAATAATAGATTTGCTATATCGTTAAGAGTCGACGATTCAACTTTAAAATTGAATAACTAAATTTTTGTCCGCATTTAGCCAACTCTAATAACAGCTTTTTGTTCATAATTTCGTATTATAAATTTATATCGTCAATAACTACACATTTTATTCATTAGTGTTTAATATTCAAGTGCATACTGCAAGTTGAAGTATTAATTTTTCAAGTTCTGCACGTCATATTACTGTTTCTGCATACGCTGAACACAAGAAGTCTGATAAAATACATGCGGTTAACCCAGGTAATATAATAATCACAATTCTTAGAATGTAAATAAAGTGGACTAAACAGAGGTGACATATGACATAAATTATAATCAGTTGGTCAGAATATAAATTTAAGTAATTTTAAGGAGAGAAATATTGATTTAGAAATGTACGGAGATGTCGATCCATTAAGATCGACCAATTAAGATTTGCAAATTATTTTCTCATGGCGTCCATCCAATATTTATCGCAATTTAATTTCAATTTTCACCGCATAATGTGGCTCGAGCGACAATCAATCTATTGATTAGTTTGAGATGTAAAACTGTAAAAGTGCACAATGTCGTCAGCAATGGTTTCCCAATGAAAAAAAAATATTCTCAAATCGAAGAAAACATGTAAATTCTTAATCTTCCGCACCTCTCCTCAAGAATAATAAGATATTTGAATGCAAGCAATTACAGTTCCACGTTACATTTCATGGATTCGAGATCGTGGCCTGGTGTTAAGAATTGGCACTAGAAACATTGCGGAATAGTCTTGCAATCGCTGGACTAATTGTCTACCACAATTTCATACTAAATCTAGATGGTGAATAATGTCGATACCGGCGTGCAAGGAAGGTAGGGAAAACCCAATGACGGCTTTCCTAATTCGCATGCATCCGTGTTCCCCGTACACACAATCAGCGGCAAGTAATAGCGAACAAGACTTCCAAGTAAGTCGAAGCGAGCATAATTTATTCTCTCCCGTCCCCTCAACAAACACTCATGCAAAACAGAAAAATGCAAATACCCTAACGGCACGCCACAGCGACCTGAGTCTAATGCTTTAAAAGCTCGCTCGTCCTTACGCTCCTAAGAGGCACCAGAAGAGGCACAAGAAAGAACAGAAACGGGGAACGTGTGGCGGGCAGGGGTGCCTACGGAATTCCAGATAATGCACTTTCGATGCCAAGAAAAAAGTCCCGACCGAAGGGGAGGAGGCGGGGACGCGGCGCACTCGCCTGTACCGTGAACCTGAACTCATCGGGAGTAGCCGCCGTCGATCAGCGGACGGACATCGGCTCCGCTCCGGCGCCTCCTCCTCCTTAGCTCCTACCGTCACCGCAGCGGAATTACGCAAGATTCGCGGGGCAATTTTCTCACATTTTTCAGGGTGCAAATGAGAGAGGACTATCGACTTTGAAGAAAATTTCTTACGTCCTCCTACGTCGTTACGTCGGAACGAGATTTCGGACGCAAACGGCTCTCCTATCGTTGCAGCTTCGGTTTGCCATTTTCAAATATGGGGGGTTTGGGGGGGGGGGGGGGGGGGGGGGGGAGCGAAAAAATAGTCTCAGCGCGGTACGTGCCGAATGAAAAACGTCGGCTTTTCCATAAACGCTAAGGATTTCCCTCGGTCGGCATGAAGAGCGACTGGCATCGCACGTTAACCTACGGTAATTCAAAAGTCCATGCTCATTCTGTTTGTGCGGCGTTTTTCAAAAGCACGTGTTTTCGCCCGCGGACTCGAGACTTTCACGGCCGAGCGTATTTGCATTCATTGTCCGGTGTCGATAAATTCGCAATTTTTGTGCAAGAGGATTCGAAGCCATTGCAATGCCACTACACTTACATACCGTATAATTAGGACTGATCGTAATCTCATAACTCATCGAGATAGAGAGAGGATTTTTGGCTTTATCGTTGGGATTGCGCAAGGATCCGTGAATAATTGAGAAGGTGAGAGATAAATGGTGGAGATTTATTAAGCTGGATATTTTATCAACGATTGATGCTAGAGCCGAGGTAAAGTTGACCTCGGCATCCCGTCCAATCAAAACAAACTCGAGCGTCAGTGGTTGGATTTTTATGAGTGAGGCCCAGCTGCCCTCGACTCAGGACCACCGATGTACCGTTACCCGAAAAGTGTCGCGATTCTATTGCGCTGCGAGCTGCCGTAGACGAGATACTAACCCTCCTCCTCCTCCTCCCCCCCCTATCTACGATTACGCAGCGATCACGTGTTTGTTGGGTCCGACGGGCATCAAGTCGGGGAGGGCAAGGCGAATAAAAAAAAAGGGTGGAGGGGAGGAACGAGAATCGCGGTACCGTAAACCCGTCGGCGAATCTCCGCTTATGCGCGTAACCAAGCGCGCGTCAGAGCGAGACAGACGAGACAGATTGACAGACAGAGAGAGAGAGAGAGAGAGAGAGAGAGAGAGACAGAAAGATAGATAGATAGATAGATATATAGATAGATAGAGAGAGAGATAGAGATGGATAGAGAGAGAGAGAGAGATGAAGAGAGAGAGAGAGATAGATAGATAGAGACACAGAGAGAGACACACAGAGAGAGAGAGAGAGAGAGAGAGAGAGAGAGACAGAAAGATAGATAGATAGATAGATATATAGATAGATAGAGAGAGAGATAGAGATGGATAGATAGAGAGAGAGAGAGATAGATAGATAGAGACACAGAGAGAGACACACAGAGAGAGAGAGAGAGAGAGAGAGAGAGAGAGGGATATAGTGCGTGAGACAGAGATGCGTAAAGTGGGAGTGGGAGAGAGAGAAAGAGGGACGCCCACGGGGGTTATCGCGGGGCCCAATAGTGGGGAGGATGTTAGGCTCAGCGCTGGGTCCGGTCAACGCTCCTATCTGCCCTCCGCGCTTAATGTATATAAAGCTTGGATGACTTTGGCCGTGTACGGCAGAACCTTCCGTACCACGATCATCGAAACAAGTGACAGATAAAGGGA